TACGACGTGTATTTTGAGATATGTATTAGCTGCCACATGCATACACTCACTCTGTGTAAGTGATGTAGAATTGCATAGTGATTCTGGGTGCAGGCTCTGAGTCAAATCCTAGCTCTGCCTTTTGTGAGACAAACTGCCTTAGATAAATTGTGTGACTTTTCTGAGCTTAACTTATTAAATGGGGACCTTATGGTGCTAAGCAAATTAGGTGATACAATCCATACAAAGGGGTTAGGCCCAGCGCCCAATGCATAGTTAGCAATCAATAAACGGAAAGTGCTGGTGTGGTGCCAGCAATGAGTGTGAGCTAAACACGCCTTTACCTCACAACAGCTGAACAGCTGCTAACTGCTTTCACTCCACCAGACACTCTGCCATCCGCCTAATCTGTTCTCCATACAGCAGCTGGAGGGACGTTCAAAATGTACAGGAGATCATGTCATTCTCTTGCTCGAAACCTTCCACTGGCTTCCATTACACATCAAATTAGATCTGAAATCCTTGTTTCTGTGAGCTTACAGGGCCTAAGTGATCTGGCCCCAGCCACTTCTTGCCTTCTTCAACAAATGTCTGCCTGGTCCCTCTGCTGAGCCACATTGGCCTCACTCGCATCCATTCAGGTCTTCACCTGTAGTACCTTGTGCCTGCATGTTCACCCCACCAGGTCTTGTCATATCTTGTCCCATCATTTCTTCATGCCTCTGCTCCCCATCTTCTGGGGAAGCCGAGCCTCCAGAGGTCTAGTCTGACCAGTGCACAGGCATGGATGGAGCCCAGAGTCTCTGTGTCAGTTTGTGCCACATGCAGGGGGCTTCTTGGATTGGGTAGTGGCAGTAACAGCAGAGGGATCTGCCTCTAAGGCTGCGGGAACAGCTCAGAGGGGCCAGTAGGCAGGATAAGTAGGGTTGAGGGGAGGGACAGAGTGGAGGGAGTAGGGGTGAGGGCAGAGACATCAGTGTGGTGACTCAGATTTGGGGTGGCATACGAGCTAAGTCCAGTACCACCTCACAGATCCTCGTCTGGCTTGGTGCTCTTTACAAGACTTAAGATGACCTGCCACAGTACTGCCTATACATTCAAATGGAGCGTATATTCACAGGAATGGAGTGTCTGTAAGGTAAGCATTCATCTTTTTGAATGATCTTTTTTTTTTATAAGATGGGCATGTTATTTACCACTCTATATTGATGAGCTGGAAAACAGTGGCGTGGCAAAAATTTATGAGTTTAAATAAATAAGGTTGAGTAAAGGTTGGCCCTCTCTTTGCCCTTCTCTTCCTCCCATCCTCCTGCTTCATCTCTCTCCCCTGTCCCCTCTAGGAGGTAGTACTTTGCGGCTTGGAGGTTGACCTTGTCAGCCCACATTCTCCCTGTGCATGTGGAATTCCGTGAGTGGCTGAGCTTCATTTCCTCCTATTCGGCAGCCTTCCGCACGCCCATTGTACCATCAGCCTAGGCCTTGGGAGCCGGATGGGACTGCTGTCTCAGGATTGCTACCACAGGGAAGGGGTTTATTTTCCACGCCCTCCACCTTTACCCATTCACAGTTCCCTCCCCTTCGCTGTGGATTTTCATTTCTCCTAGCTTCTTAATTAAAATCCCCATTCCTTAGCACTTCTTTTTTGCCTTGAAAATTTTCCCAAATCACACTTACCTCTTGAAGGAATACCTTACTTAATCTCCATGCTGGCTACTTTTCACCCTAAATCAAAGTTAGACAATTATTTCCGAGTGTGATTTTAGGTCTAGGGTTTTGAATTTATTGCCTGCATTCCCTTAATTTCTAGATGACTAAGTGAACCGTGATTTAAGAAATCTTGAAGAAACCCTTAACATCATAGCTCTGTTTACATCAGAGTGGCCCTCACTTCCATAAATCCTAGCAAAACAAAGGCATGGGCTTCCAGAATTGAAAATGACCTCAGAAGCTGATTGAGTATGAATGCCTCCCACCCTGCCTACACCTCCCCCTCCCCCTCCCCCTGGAGACGTGAAGAAACTAGGCCTGGACGTCTCGCCCAGTCAAAGTGGGGCAGAGGCAGGAGAGGGACCCGGTCTGTGTGCCTTTCTGTCTGGGGCTCTCCAAAGATCCAGACTGCTTCTTTAGTCGACTGCATGGTTTGGTTTAAAAATTTTATAAAACATTCTTTGAACGGGTAGCAGAATTTTCGATTATGCTAGACCAGGAAGATCCTTTCCTGCCTTTTCCCACCTTCTCATATGACATTTCAGTCTGGCTTCTAACAGGTGTTTCTGGGCACTGTCTGACCAGCCCAGGGAGACCTGACCCACAGCTAGTGATGGAAACTTATTGTTGAACCTGCAGGAGGTACTCCTGCCTCTTCCTGATCCCGGGGCTCTGTGGTCCCTGCGTGGCCTGATGTACTTGCCGCTCCATGCTGAAATGACAGGTAGGAGACCCATTGTTTAGCTGTAGTTTTTGATCATATTGTTGTGTTTTGGATAAGAATGGAAATAGAAAAAAAGTTTTAAAACTGGTAAATATCTATAGGAAAATTTTAAACATCCCGATCTTGCAAAAATACAGTACAGCACTTACTCCCTTAAATGTGTCTCTGAGTCTCTCGTGAAATTGCTCACCGATCACCTACGCTGGAGGTTGGAGGCAGTCATCTGAACTATGTTTCCTTTAACTTCCCCCTTCCAAACTTACTGAATTATGTGAATTCGAGACTTAGTCCCCCTCCCTTTTTGTGGCCAAGCATCCCAGTTGGTTACTGAGAATCATCAGTATGCTTGCGAATTCTGAAATAGGGTTTCAAGCAAATTCATTGTGTGGAATCTAGCCTATTTTCCATGTTGGTGGAGTAGTATTAAGCCAAGATTTGCCCTGAGAGGTCAAAGCACAGAACAATTCAGAGCGGTGTCAAGGTCTACTGGCATCTGATGCCACTTCCCTGAAGGCTTGTTTTTATTTCGTCATTCACACTTCACCTTTTTTATTCCAAGGTGACTTTAATTCCATGCTTATTTTATGCACAGTAGTCACAATAGCTCACTTCAGGTGTTAGTATTATCTCCAAGGGATATTCTGTACATCTGGTTTGTAGCAGCTACATTCCCCCCTTCTTTGGGAAGCAAAGGAGGTCTGTGGAAGTCCACCACACTAAACAGAGCTATTTCAGATCTTGGTCAATCTACAGACCTTGGCTTACATATGACCCAGAGTTATTAAAAATATAAACCCCAAGGCCCGCCTTGATTATGTAATAGGGCCACTAGGCTGACTCAGGGACTTTGTGCTCAGAGCTGAGAACAGAAATCTGCTTTTCCAAACACCTCAATGTGTGGGAGGGGAGCTAAACCCAGTCTCTGAGCTGTGGGGCTCCATCTTGTCCACGGACTTAGAATTAAATTTCAGAGGGACGCATAGCACATTTCCAATTCCCCTGCTTCCTTTTATGTCCAGTCCTTCTTCTCTTTTTCCCAGGATGGAAAAGTGCCATCTTTTCCCCAGTCCAGCTGCAGAGAACCTGGCCTCAAGCCAGCCTTGGGGGTTCAGTCACGGATGGCCTTGGCAAAGATTTATGGTCAAATATGAGAGAGCATCATTCCTGCCAAGGCCCTAGGGCACTGAGGATGGAATGGCTTTTGTCCTTCTGAGCCCACATCACAGTTTCCAGGTGGAAAGTCACAGTGCCGGAGACCTGGAAGTCACCCAGGGTCTCATGCACTCCTTGTTTTGCAGATGGACAAACTGATATGACTGGCCTGGGGTATACCCTGGGCAGTGGTAGGGGGAGAGCTGGATCCCAGATAGAATTCTATGTGAGGACAGGGACTATTCTGGTCCATCCACTGCTGTCTTGCCAGCACCTAGCACAGTGCCTGGTATATAGGAGGCACCCAGTAAATATCTGTTGAAGGAAAGAGCAAATGTAACACCTTTTTCTCCATGCCAGCATTTTATTCTCCTCTTCTCTTGATATTTAACTAAACTTATTCTCAGAAAATCCCCTCTGTTCCCTTCTCCAGATGAGAAGAGACCACAGGGGCATGGACAAGACACTACTGTTCACCACGCCAGCAAGTTACCTGGTGCCCACACAGAGCAGGGAGCAGCTCCCCAGAAAGGCTCCTGCCCGTTAGTTACCACCAGCCTGGCTTAGGTAGGGTCTCACTCCTAAGTCCGCTGTCAGACTTGGACTACAGACAGATGGTGTGTGTGTGTGTGTGTGTCGGGGGGGGTGTTTGCTAGCTGTTACAGAGGTGTTTACAATTTATTTGGGCGCCAATACCGACAGCCAGGGTGGGAGTCTCCAGGAGTTCTGGATGTTGAATAGGGATCCAGAAAGGTTTGGGAGCTCCAGGCTTGGGGATGAAGTCAGGGCAGTGAAAATGTCTCGTTCGAAGGGAGGCTAGGGGACCCTCTGGTCGCAGCTTGGCCGGGCTAAGCCAGTGTCACCTGGGACTGCCCTTGTATGCACAGGATTTTGTAAGATTCTCCAGTTGGTAGCGGGCAGAGCCAGCCGAGAGAGAGAAAAACTTTGCTTTTTGGCAGGTTGTCGGCTCTCAGCGAGGGGGAGTGTCCCTTGGCTCGGCGTCCGGGGCCACGGGCGCGGGGGAGGTGTCCGGGCCCGCCGGGCTCCACAGCTACGGCCGCTGATCATCTTGAGAGACCGGCTGGGAACCTCGGCCCGGGCAGGAGCCCGAGGAGGGGAGGGGTGCGTCGGGGAGCGGAAGGGGCGGCCGCCCGCGGAGCCCTAGGAGAGCCAGCTGCGGAAGCGCGCCGCCTTCCCCCGCGGGGCCCGAGCTCGCGCTGGGGCGCCCGGAGCCCTCGCGCCCCGCGAGCGCGCCCGGCTGCTCCGCGCACCTGCCGCGGGCCCCGCGCGGGGCTGAGCTGCGGGCGGGCGGGCCGCGCGCACAGGTGGCGGCGATTGGGCAGGCGGGGCCGGCAGGGTGACGTCACGGGCTCGGGTCCCGGCGGCAGAAATAGGGCAGCCGCGGCGGCGGCGGTACGGCAGCGGCGGCTCGCGGAGCTGGAGCCGAGGCAGCCTCCGGCGCGCCCGGGACCCGCCGGCAGCCGCGGAGACCGACCGAAGGACGCGCGGCCGGGTCGCCGCCACCGCCACCGCCACCGCCACGGGCGCTCGCGTCGGCCGGCTCCCTGGTCTTGCCGCGGCCCCGGCCACACAGGTACGCGGGCGCGGGGAGGGGGCCGAGCCGCCGCCGCCGCCGCCGCCGCCGCCGCCGCCAGCCGGTCCCGCCGCGCGCCGCTGGGGTCCGGGCGCCCGCGGCCCCGCGCCTCCCGCGCCTCCCGCGCCTCCCCTCCCCGCAGGACCCGCGCGGGCGCTCGCTGGGAGAGCCAAGTTTGCCCGCCTGGCGGGCGGCGGGCTCGGGACCGCGGGACTCGGGCTCGCCCGGGCTCCCCGGCCCCGGCCAGGACTCGGGGGGCGGGCTGGGGCGCGGAGGGGGTGGCCCGGGGCCGCAGCCGGTGCCGGGGCGAGCCGGCCGGCGAGCGCAGCGGACCCGCTCCCGCCCAGCCCGCTCCCGCCCAGCCCGCAGCCCGCAGCCCGCGCCGGCTCCGGGACCCCGCAGGCGCCGCTCCCCCGCTCGGGCCCCCGAGCGGCCTCGGCGAGCCGGGCGAGCGGCAGCCCCGCGGCTCGCTCGGCGCCCTTGGCCGGGCTGCGGTGCGGAGCGGGCGCCCTCGCTGCCTCCTCGCTCCGGCTTTGCGGGCCAACTTGCGTGTCCCCGCCGCAGCCGGAAGGGCCCGCCGCGCCCCGCCCGGCCGTCGCTCCCCCGAGGTCCGCCGCGTCCGCCCGTGGGGGCTCGGCGGAGGCTGAGGACGGGGGCCCGGGGCGCGCCCTGCCTCCGCGAAGCCCGCGGCCCGGGTCCTTCCGAGGGAGCGACCCGGGGTTCCCGCTGCGGAGCCACTAGGGAGCAGTTTGGGGGACGCTCGGGCAGGGAGCTTGGTCCTAAGGCAGCGTGTGCAGTGAGCGGGTGATCCGCGCCCCTCTGCGCCAGCCAGGAGACCTATTTCAAGTTTGGGGGGCGCCCAGGCGGCGCAGACCGAGCGCGGCGCGAGCCCTCGGGGCCCTTGGAGCGGACGGCGCGGCGCCCGGCGTGCTCGCCCGCGGCCCGCCACGCGAGGACTTGGGCTCCCGCCCCTCTGGCAGGGGCAGACACCCGCCGCGGGCGGCGACTCCGGCAGGCGCAGAGCGCCCGGGGCCCCGCGGGGCCGGCCCCCGCCGGGCTGCGCCTCGCACCGCGGGTCGGGCCGCCGGCGCGCTCCTGCCGCGCTCGCTCCGGGAGGACTGTCGCCGGCATTGAGGAATCGCGCGCGGGTCGCTGTCTCCTCCGCTCTCCTCTAGGTGTCGCTTCCCCCGAGGGAAGCACAGCGCCGGTCGCTTCGACCGGTTCCCTTCCCACATTCGTTGCCTGCCTGTGCCCCGCAGCTGTGCTAGACGGGCCCCCGAGATACAGACGTTCGTCCACGTTCTCTGGGCCTCACATCAACGGAAGCCCATCCGCAGGTGGCACCGTCACACTCTCAACCAAACGTGCACCGGGCACGGGCCTGTGTTGCGACCTGTCAGGCATCGGGAAGAAATTCAGACGTTTCTCGAAGGTCTAAAGTTATTTTTCCATCACCGGGCTTAGGGGAAAGTCAGACCCGACTTTTAACAGTGTCCTGTCAGTCCGGGAGTGGGTGGGCTCCTGTGCTTGCTCCTGCTGGCTCGTAGGACAGGCTCTCATCTGGGTGGTGGGCAGGTGGAGGGCTCAACGGGGGGGGGGGGGGCGGGGGCGGGGGGGGTATTTGGTCAACCGGGGGAGTGAAGGATGGCGCTTTTAGGACACCAGAGCCCCAGCAATCCTAAGGCAGTAGCTCAGAGCGAAGCCTTGAACCGATGCCCCACAGAGCCCATGCCTGCTTCCCTCCTTGGTGTTGTAAAACACCGCAGCGTTACTACACCACTTCTGTTCAGACACACTTAGCTGAATGTTAGTTTTCTTTCTATCCTAGGAGAACAGACACCCCCTCCCCCAAGACTTGAGACTGAGCCAAAGGGCAGGCGAGATGATAGCCTACCTTATGTATACTGGACTGTACTAAAGTTGTTCCAGTGGCTTTTCCTGCCTTAGACATTATTGACCACCTTAAATTTTCATTAATTTCAGGAAATCTATTTTCATTTCTGAGGCAGGAACTTATTCCCATGGGCCTTGGGAGAATTTTTTTAGCCCTTCTGCTCTGTCCTGGAAGTGGGTGCATGAGGGGTAGGTTGAATTTTTCTCCCTTGACCATCATCAGTAGCTCAGGATTCTCCTTTTCTTCTCAGAGTTGCAGGATTTTTTTTTTTCTTTTTTAAGTGATTTTCATGTTGTGATCTTCTGTTTGGCTTAATACTATAGTCCAGAAGCAGGTCATTGACTAGTCAGAATTTCTTATATTTTTAATTCCTACTTTACCTTTCTTGGTATTTTTCTGAAAATTCAACCTTCTTGTGTTGCTTATGTGTGGTCTATTGTGTGCTTACTAACTTGATGAAATTAGGAAGTTATTTCAAGAGCACATATGTCCTTACATTTTCTTTCTCTTAATGCCTAACACAAGGCATGGAACTTCAAGTAAAATAGAACTCCCGTTGAGAGAACATGGTACTTTAGTCCAAATGTTGAAACTCTGAGGGTTTCTGGAACTCACAGGTGTGTGGGTTAAACTTCATAGTATATAGGAGTGTCGTAGATTGATACATTGCACAAGACTAATTTAGGCATCCAATTTATCAAATGTTGGAACAATTAACCAAGGATAAAGAGCAGATAATTAATGCGAAATGCGGCGTAACTTCATTATGACTTGCTGCAGGGTTAGCCTGATATATTTCCATGCCTGATTTCCCTGGGTTGGTATTTTAGGGGCTATCTTAGAAAGTTTGAAACCCTTGCTTTTTTTCTTAAAACACTTGGATGTCAAAACTAGGGTCCTGAGCATTTGAGAAGAAATTAACGTATAGTCTCATGGTGTTAGGTTAGGGTCAATATGGCTTTTTTTTTTTTTCCTTTTAACATTGGGTAGACATACCGGAGGCTACAGGAGTCTGGTGGTCTCCAGGTGGTTTCCATTTGTTGATTGACATCTGTGCAAAATGCTATGTACCTGAAGTTAATTGACTAATGCATACACTTAGTTGGAAAGGTTGGAAATTCAGGGCCACACACTTTACTGTTCTCTTTAAAGCTGGGGTGGTATTGCTTGGTTCTACCAAAGCATCTTCATAATTTCTGATCTTGGTGGTTACAAAGAGAAATGATTTCCATGTAGCTAATCTATAATGTCTACTTTGGTAATATTCCCAATGTTCTGGGAGAGTTGCTGCAAGAGTACTGATGAATAATGTCTCTGAAAGCTCTGAGGGTCTGAATTCCCATTCTTCCCAAACAAGGCTGGCTCTCAGAGGAGAAAAGAGAAGTTTGTATTAGAACCACTGCCAGTTTAGTGTCAGTGTTTCTCTCTGGCCTCTGACCCTGTTCAATAAAGACCACTTGCATGCTGGTGTGTCTTCTGTGGCGGGGCAGATTTGGAATGGACTTATTCATACCTATTTCTCCTTAACCATTTGCCTTCTTATGTCATATTTTTCAACTTTCTTGGAAAAGTGAGTCAGTTTCCCAAATGTTACATTATACAAGTTTGTATGGTACCTCTATAATTTTAAATGCAAATAATTGCATAGACATTGGCTTATAATTAAAAGCCCAGAAAATCCTGTGCTTTATACACAAAGCAGGTAGGTGATCTAGTAGGGCCTATCCAGCACTAAGAAAAGCAAAAGTAGTCTGATCTAAACAGAATGCAAACATTGTATATGTGTTTGTGACTATGTAAGAAGCAAAATTATTGCGTAGGGGTCAGATGCCTGGTTTCAGTCTAGATCTGGCTCCTGACTTGGATGACACATTGGGTGAATTCTCTGATCTTCCAGGCTCCTGGTGTCCGTCTGTGCAGCAGCCACACTAGCACATGATTCCCTTGAGCATGGGAGAAAGTGAGGCTTGGGTGGAAAACCTCAGAGGAACCAGGTCTTAAATATCAAGTGATTGTACTTTATGAGTTGTTTGAAAGAAAAGGCAGTCCCAGCTCTTTTATGAGAACAATCTCAGATAGATTTATAGCCAGTCTTAGGACTCTAACATGGGTTGAATGAAGCTTATAAACCTAAATTGATCTCAAAAAAGGAACTCAAGGTTGAAAAAGAGAGTTTGTGATATTATAGATGGTACCTGCCCATTTCTCTAATGAGGAAATTCTGGTATTTTCTTCTGTCTGAAGATCGATAGGGCTATTTGAAGGTGAGGAGTAATGAGTCAACAGATCTACTTCCCTCAAAGTGACTGTCTTCAACATGCTGGCACTCCCCTATCAATTGACAGACATCCTTGTTCCCCAGCATTCTGTGCATTGCCTCATGATTTCTTTCTTTTCAACTACATTTCTTCTTGTCCAATAAAGACAGCAGCTATGGGAGCTGAGGACCGTGTGCCAAGTGGCCCCATTCCGGGGAGGGATGCAGAGAGGATCAGCCTGGTTCTTTCCTCATTCTTTTCCTGTTCCTCTAGAGGAGTATAGCTCTTGGCAGCTGCCACAGACTCAGAATTTCCTATCTTGCTCTACCTAGGTTCTTCCCTACCTTACTAAAAACAACCATTTTTTAAAAAGATTTTTTAAAAATTATTTATTCATGAGACACAGAGGCAGAGACAATAGAGGGAGAAGCAGGCTCCTCACAGGGAGCCTGATGGGAGACTCGCTCCCTAGACACAGGATCACACCCTGAGCCCAAGGCAGATGCTCAACCACTGAGCCACTCAGGCACCCCAAAACAAGTTTTGATTGAAACAAAATATTGCTATGTATTGAGACGCACAGAGGGTGGATGTGAAGAGCATAGATTTCATGCCAAGTTCCACTATGTGGCTTGGAGTCCCAGCTCTGCCATTTATTTGCCACGTGGCTTTGGTAGGGTACTTACCCTCCCTGTGACCTGTCTGCTGTGTCTTCTGACAAGGGCATAATGAATGCCCTCCTCATAGAGTAGAAGTGAGGATTATGAATTAATACCTGTAAGGTGTTTAGAATAGTGCCTGACACATAATAATTGCCATGTAAGTACTAACCAAATAGATGGCCTCTGTTTGGTTATTAGATAGATCATCAAAATTGATTTAGACGCAATATTAATTCTTTTTTTATGAACCAAACCATCATAAAACTTGAGTTGTAAATTTTTAGGCTGTTGCTCCTGTAGATAAAATGAATTGTCAATCATAGTGAGTATAAAATGACATTAAACATGTGTCCACCGTGCAAATGAAGTCTGATTTGGTGGTGGCCAAGCTGAGCAAAATGTTACGAAGAAGCTGTCTGGAAATATTACAGTCATTAGACTGGCTGTTGTGTTTCTTCATCTTTAAATCTTCAGGGGAACCTCAACACAAACTGGAGACAAGTCCAGGTGCTGTAGGGCTGAAGCCCAGATTTCTTGAAGCACAACTCAAAACAACTGGGTTAATAGCACAGGTCTAGGTGCACCCTCTAAAATAGTTTGAGTTTGCCACAATTGAAATGAATGGATTTTATTTTGATGCTGTCCATTAATAATAAAACATCAAACATAATTGGTCTTGGATTACTAGGCAAATTGAAAACTAAATAGTCGGTTTTGTGCCTTGAATATTTCATAACTCCCGAAATTGACATTTATATGTTAAGTAGAATACATTTTGGTTATTTTGTTGCTTTTGGTTTATTCAGGCTCAAAAACATGAAAAGGGAGAAAAGAAGACCTTTTGTACATGTGCTTGCCCCATGAGTGCTGTTTGATAGTGGATAAGTAGGGAAGAATTACCAAAAATAAAGTAGGAAGTAGTGTCTTTCTAGTTCTGGTTTGAGTATTGATATTGTTTTTAAAAGATTTATTTTAGAGAGAGAGCACATGTACATGAGTGGGAGGGACTGAGGGAGAAGGAGAGGGAGAGTCTCTGGCAGACTCCAGGCTGAGTGCAGAGCCCAACAAGGGGCTCAATCTCATAACCTCGATGTCATGACCTGAGCTGAAACCAGGAGTCGACTACTTAATCCACTGAGCCACCCAGGCACCCCTCAGGATTGGTATATATATTTTCCAAAAATCTAGTAACTGCTCTCTGTGGTTTCAGGCACATGGCTGCATTCAGAAAACAATAATTTATGGAGAGTAGGGAGTTGCCCTATTTATTTTCAGAAGAACTGGTAGCAGTTGGGAAAGGCCTTTTTATTTTCTTTTAGTCCTGAATGTGATTTTTTTTTTCCCTCCATACTCCTCAATTCCTATGAAGGACTTACACCCTGAAGCTAGAGCCCCGGATATGGATTGTGGGCTTGAGGTCTGCTGGGTTTGCTCTGTTTCTGTCTCAGGTAGCCCTCTTCAGAGTGCAGAACAGGTGCCAATGGTGACGAGAGTTTGACCTTCACATTATATTTACTGCCCACTCAGACTTCTCCTGCCCCAGTCGCTCCAGCTTTGCCAACAGATGTCAAAGACGAAGAAACAGATAGAGGAATGGAAGCCTGTGGATCGTTTGTAAGACAAGAGACACGTTTTCTTAAAAAGACAGTCATAACTTATAACCTTGCCTTTTCATAGGCCAGTGTTAGATGCCATAATTTTTAGCCTGACTTCTCCTTCCTGTGGGCATTTCGGTCTCAAGTGAGGGACATAAAGCATATCTGGAAAGGCAGCCAAAGGAAACTTGGAGTTGATAGGAGTGAATTTGTTTGGTAGCCCTGGCATCAGCACTAGCAATTGTGGGATACCTCCAACCCTTCTTGTTCAAACAAGGCATCCTCCAGAGCTGTTGCCATGGGGCTGGATAGGAGTCGATTCCTCCTTCAGACTCTAATGTCCCTCAGTAGCTCATCATTGCTGACTGGGTCACCTGCTCGACCCCAGTTCAAGGCCAGATTGCATGGGGTGCTGGCCTCCTAAGGAGCTCTGTGTTTTCCTCTCCCCGGCCATAATCATGATGCCGTGTGCACCACATGCAATTAAGCACTAAATTGTGTAGTGCTCACAGAAATCAATAACCCCTCCGGTTTCCTTGAGTACGAGTTGTAAATACTGCACGATGAGTTCTAGCTTCCTGGCTGCATTGCTTAGACAGAGCTACTGAAATCAAGATTGTAATGTTTACAGTGGAAACCTTAAAAAAAAAAGAAAAAGAAAGAAAAAGGTAGAGCTTATGGCACACACGTCCTAACCTCTGTCCTTGGCCTATTAACATCATGCCCAGCACATGATAGGGAGTTGATTATCTGTTGTAGCTGATCCTTCATTTTTTCATCCATGTAATTCTTTGATTACTTTAAATTGCCCATTTCTTGTCTTCTAGGACTTGTCATGTGATATCTTATCATGTGAGTCTGAGGAACCACCTTAAAGGTTATTGAAATTCCATTATCCATTGGGTGCTTGAATTCCTCTACACGCAGGAATAGTTTTGAAAAGAAACTAATGAGCCTTATCATGGAATTTTGAAGCTCACTGTCTTGTAAACTGAGGCACCACCCACAAACAGGGTACCATACATTTAACATAATTCCTCATCAGTGTTTATTGAACACTAATTGTGTGCCCAGCCCCAAATGTCTCTGAAGTGACTGAAGCATGGTTATGCGGTAACTGAACAGAAGTGACACAGCTTCTTCACCCTCATTTGTTCTTGTAGATATAGTGGTGGCTGGCATGTTGGGTGCGTTTTCACATAACAGCTAGCATTTGTAGAGCTGTTACTACATGTCTGACACTTCTTCAACCCTCACAGCAAGCCTGTGGAGTACATATCATCAACTCCATTTTAGAGGTGAATAAACTAAGGCTCGGAAGTACTTGAAACTTCTCTCTGGGGGAACAGAAGTATTGGTGGTAGGGTTTAAACTCTGGTCTATCTAATTCTGGAGTACAAGTCCCACCTACCCACCCTGTGATGTGCTTATATTTTGCAATACTTAATTCTGAACATTTGTCATTTTCTCAACAGACTCAACAAAATGAAACCAGGACACTTATGGCTGCGTCTTGCACTGCTTGGGGCCTCCCTGCCAGCTGCGCTGGGATGGATGGACCCAGGACCCAGCAGAGGCCTGAACGTGGGTGTGGGTGATGCACAAGCAGAGGTATTGTCACATAACACCTGATATGACCCTTAAAACGTGCCGCTTTTCAGTGTCAACATATCTGATTTCTTCTCTACCTTTATATCAGTAAGATTGCAGTGTGAATTAAAAATGTGCCCCCTTTTTGGTAAGAGGCAGAAGGAAACAACATGTGTTGATCTGGACAGGAGATTTATATCATGCTGTAAATAATAGTCTAAAATCTCTGCAATGCTGAAAATGTATTCCAAAACCAAGCTTCAGTTGTATGGTTTGTCTTCCACAACGACCCTCAAGAGAATGGCCTTTTTGTATATTTAATAAAACTCTGAAAATGCAGACTCAATGGTGGAGCACACCCATGTGAATTAATGAAGTCTTTTAATTATAGAATGTGTTTTAAAGGAGCAATAGAGACTCCTTTTCACGTATACAGATAAAAAGAACCAGGCTGAGGAAGAATTGGCAAGTAGGGGTCCTAAGGGAGACTGTCTTAATGAACAGATAAGAATGATTAATGGCATGTTAGGTATATATAAATGCTTCTAAAGTGCTTGAAAAACTTATTCTTGAACGCCTCCCTGGAGAGTCTCGATACACTGCTAATTGCTTAGTGAACTTGGTCTTAAGTACTGGGGAGGATTCATAAGCTGCACCCTAGCCCTGCTCAGGTGGTAAGCCCGAGGTATATGGGGCTTATGAGGGGAGCAGTTTTTCTGAAGAAAATGCTGTGTGTGTGTGTGTGTGTGTGTGTGTGTGTGTGTGCGCGCGTGCACGTGCGCGCGCGCGCCAAGCCCTAAGCAACAACTGCATCCTTCCATTAAAGCTGCCTGGGATTTCCTTGATGACGTGGGGCATGCACATTCCTATCTAAGAGCTCCTCCGATCCTTTCAGCTTGCATTGTCCTCCCTGATGCATGCCTGCCTCTTGTCTCTGTTCTCGTTTCCTGCCCTGTATATGAGAGAAGAAAAATTATCTCCAGAAGTCAACATTGCCAGAGAGTGAATAATGACCCAAAGTGTGGGGAAGGTAGGATTAATGCATTATTTGATCAGAAGTCACGATTTTTTCCTCATTATTACTTAATCATGATGCAAATCTACAAACCTTAATCTCAGGGGAGCTTCAGAAGTAGTCAGATGCACATGTTGGCTGCTGAAGTTCGTGTGGCTTCTTTTGTGGTAAGCAGATGATTGAAGAGCATCACTCTCTTTCCCATTGCAGTCCATGAAGGACGCAACTTAATGCTCTTTTGAAAGAGCCTGGAGGCTGACTTGCTAGCCAGCACAGCATTTCCCATGTGGGATGGCTTAATCATTGTGCTCATATCCACACAGGGGGAAAAGGATCGCTTAAACCCTACAAATATATTGTTGGATATTTAATAGCAAAGCAAACAGGCAAACACACAGATAAGCTTATTTAGTCTTCTTACTATTGGGGCTCATTGGCCCACTGTTTTAAATAGCTTATTTCAATTAAATGAGTCAAACCAATTAAGATGGGATTTTAGCTGGAGGTAAAAGTGAAGGTAAGTTAATATCAACCGAGGGCATCTTTATCTTTGTTGTTAACATCCAAACACTCTGAAAAAACAGTTACAGCTCATTCTGAGGAAGTAAGTCTTCTTGATGGTTGGTTTTGGGGATGTGGTTTTTCTCCTCCCATTAGGACAGAGCCCAGGAGATGAAAATGTCTCCCAGTTCCAAGCCTTGTGCTGCTTTGGGAAAAGGAAGCGATGCCTCTACGGACTCCCAAATGCAGGAACGGCTGCCCTATCCATCCAGCACTTGTGGCTGTGGCTTGCGTTTTTGCAAACTGTAATAATTTCTCTCGTGGAATCTGCTTTTATCAATGTGGAAAGGAGATGATTACAGTATGAGTGGGCCTAGGGTATCGGACAGCCTCAGCAAATGTTCCAGTAGAGGAGAACATGTATATGTACCTGATTTGTTTGCTCGTTTTGACCCCTCTTTATGCATGGCCTCTCTGTGCCCTTCCTTGCTACCATCCTCAAGTCTGGGATACTGTCCCTTCTCTCCACATGGCTGACTCCTCTCCTCCATGGCCTAGCTCTTGTTCTTACCGGTTCTCTGGGATCTTCTTTGAGCATACTTTGGTCACCTTTGATGTCTAGTTCTGAACCAGTCCTTCTTGTTTTTAACACCTATATTTTTATTTGAGCATACAGATTAAGCCTATCTTTTTTTTTTTCATTTATTTTTATCGAAGTTCGATTTGCCAACATGTAGTATAACACCCAGTGCTCTTCCCATCAAGTGCCTTCCTCAGTGTTCATCCCCCAGTGACCCCAACCCCCCCGCCCACCTCCTGTTCTGCAACCCTTTGTTCACTTCCCAGAGTTAGGAGTTTCTCATGGTTTGTCTCTCTCTCTGATTGGATGAAGCCCGTCTTATTTACATTTCTCTTCCTTACAATGTCTAATAATTTTCAGAGCAAAGTAGAGACTCATTGTTTTTCTGAGCAGTGGGTACTCAACACTTAGTACTAGTTGTGAAGTCCCCCTAGTGCTTTCAAAATTGAGACCAGACAGTCATTTCAATGAATGACAGCCCTCCCTGTGCAGTCCTTCCTGTCCAGTAAGGACATGAATGGTGCCCCCAGCTGACCTGTGAGCAGCCTGCAGGCAGGCCAGGCTCACTGACGTCCAGGGTAGTCCTTATATGTTAAAGGATCTGGGCAGTTTCTTCTTTGAATTGTAACTGTTCGTATATCCATAACTGATGGTCCAAACTATACCACACTCCTCTAGCCATTTCCTCAGTCTTACTTTCTGGAAGAATCATAATCAACTGAGTTTGTCGAGACTTCGTAAATAAATTAAAAATATATGTATTTTCAGGACCTAGATGGTGAACTGTTTCTGTGTTTTCTTCCAGCTACTTTACACAACATTCATTGACTTGAGATTTTTAAAGTACTTGGAAAGCATTAATAAGATTTGACTTACCTTTAAAGTTATTACACCAATTACTCGAGTTGTCCTAAGGGTGAATAAGGATTAAATGACCAGTGCATGTGTGTGTTCACGCATTTTTAAAGCAATGATGGCAAATGTAAATTTTGTTATATTATTGTTTTATGTACAAAGACTGCACTTGAAATAGCTTCAAGGAGTTTATCATTTTACAAATGTAGATGAAAAAGAAACGTAGCTGGGTGGAGTGCCTCTCTAATAAGACCTGAGTGGCAGAATGTGGCCTAGAATACTAATGAAATTCTGAATTCTGAGAGCTGCAGCTCACTGAAATTCTAAAATAATTAAAATTCCCCCTTTTCCCCTGTACTCTGGCCAAGACCAATTTGGTACTAAAATCAGTAGTGGTAGAATTTTATATTTGGGGAGATCAGGAAAGTGAGAGGGGGGCAGCCTCAGGGATCCACCCCCTCCCAAGGGGTGGACATTTGTGGGAGGGTCCCCCCCCACCTTTGGGCCCTGGATGCTGTCTGTGTTCCCACCATTTGCGGGGCTCTAGGGTTGGCTGGAGGCCATTTCACCGCCATATGCACCCCTTATGTGTTCTGCTGTAACTTCTTTACATTGCTCTGACCCACAGTTTCTAGTCCTGCACTAAATAACCATAAATATGGAGGCTCCTTTTAAAATTGTTAGCTTCATATGCCTCAGTGCTTACAGACCAGGGAAAGGCTTTGAGGTCAGATACCCTATGTTTTCGATGCACTCTCACAGGCAAGCCTTCAAGGGATACATGTATCTAGGGTATCAATAATCAGGGTGGTCGCCCACCTCCCTAATCCCAGAAGTAGGCCTAAGAAAGCACAGAATGGGCCTTGATCCTTCCTGCAAGTGTTGGTCCTGATGCCGCTGACTGCACTCAGGGGCGCTCCTGTCTCTGGCTGAGGATGGGCTCTAATGCAGAGAGCCGGAGGGCCCTGGCTCCCTTCTGCATTGGTCGGGTGTTGAGGAAGATGGGGACTGCGGAGACTGGGCACTAATTTTTTAAAAAATACTTCTTTGCTTTAATCAGTGTCATTGTTCTTACATTGAATTTAAATGTTGATTGAATTTAAGACCGCACTCTTTCTAGTCTCTCTCCTCCCCAACCCCAACCCATGCCCCACTCTTCTGATAGCTGACTGGGAAAGAGTAGCTCATCTGGTGGGCTTTGAGGCCTCTGCCATTCACTTCTCCTTACTCTCGCCTCTGAGTCTGTGGGTGTGGGGAAACCACCTTCCTTCTCCCTGTGAACAGATGGGGCCTAGGCTGGCATTTTTTGAACCTCATCTGCAGACCTGTATGCATCTCTTATGGATGTTTCCTTTTTTTCTTTTTTTTTTTAAGATTTTATTTATTTATTCATGAGGCGCGCGCACACACACACACACACACGTACATACATACACAGAGGCAGAGACACAGGCAGAGGGTGAAGCAGGCTCCACGCAGGGAGCCTGATGTGGGACTTGATCCCGGGTCTCCAGGATCATGCCCTGGGCTGAAGGCAGGTGCTTAGCCACTGAGCCACCCAGGGATTCCCACTTATGGATGTTTTCTATGGAGCTCCCATTCCTAGACACTCAGGTTCTGGGATATTCAGGCATGACTCTCTAGTAATAATTCTCTGTCAGAGGATATGGATTTTTAGTTTCTCAGCTTAGGTTGGGAGAACACAACCTCCCATCTGGAGGTACGTGAGTAAATCCATAACATTTTAGGTGAAAGATGGTGGCAAGTACTCCATGTTCCGGGAGGAGTTGGACAAGCCATTTCCCACCTTCAGTTAGTGTGGGCTCTGCCCTGTACCAGCCTCTCTTGAACTTCAGTGGGCTTGCAAAGAGTCAGGAGGTCCTGTTAAAATGCTGATGCATAGATCTAGGGCGGGGTCCTGAGATTCTGCATTTCTCATCAGCTCCAGGTGATGCTGACCCTCCTGGTCTCAGGGGACATTGGGCAGAAAAGCCCTAGAAGAATACCACTGGCCACCTCCCAGCCTGCACACATCCAAGAAGGAGATTGCATTTGGTGATGAACCCCAGT